CGCAGCGGCGAGCCGCAGCTCCTTCCGTCCGTCCGTCCGTCCCTCCCTGCCTGCCTCTCCTGCAGAGCTGGAGTCTCGCAGGTGCAATCCTGCTCCTGCTCCCTCCTATTTATAGGGATGGCAGAAGGAGGCAGGTTGCAGCTGCCGTCCTCTCCCGCCCCCGGTGCTTTCCCTCCAATGTCCCTGTCATCACTCCCTTCCTGCCGAGCCCTCCCCTTCCCAAGGGCTGGATGCCCTGTTCAGCTGGGGCATGGGTTGGGGGTTACCGAAAGGCCACCCTGCAGGGATCCAGACCCCCCAGGGACCTGGGCACAGCCCGGTGCAGCTCCCTGGGCCACCAGCACCAGCTGGCAAATCTGATCCTGGAGCAGTGCGTGGCACTGCCGACAGTAGCATGGCAGCCACCCCACGGACCCCACAGGACCTGCTCCCTGTGCAGGGTAGGGGGCCACGGCGCAGCGGGTGGTGGTGACGGGGCAATGCCAGCTGGAGCCACCATGCCTGTGAGGACACCGTGGGCATGAAAATCAGCAGCTGAGCAGTATCTCAGCCCGGGGCAAGGCAGGACACAAGTCCCCACTTGGCTCAAGGCTTCCCCAGGAGCAGAGGCAGGTTATAAAGCAGGGAGAGGTATGGCTGGGGGCAGGCCCTGGGGTGTCAGCCAAGCCCCCCAGCGCTCAAGCTGCAACTGGGAGCACTGGGGATCCCCAGGGATCCCCATCCAGAGCCCCAGCATGCCCCAGCGGGGTTTTAAACCTGCACCTCAGTACGGGCACAGCAGTGCCGGGGTGCTGGGAGGGGGTGAATGGGCCAGGGAAGCTCCTCTGCAAGGTGGGACCAGCATGCCCAGAGGCTGGAGCAGGAAAAGGCGCAGCCCCAACCCCCTTCCCTGCTACAGGGATCCCCTGGGTCACTTCACCCTGATCCCCTGGGTCACTTCACCCCTATGTCTCCCCTTCCCCCCTTCCCCTGGAGCAGCAATTCCCATTCCCCCCCTCTTGAAAACTGCTGCCAGCTCCCCCATGAACAGCATTATGCAAACCCCCACCACTACATGGTTTTGTAATCAATTAAACGCTTCTTAACCAGAAATGCCCCCAGGCAACTCCTGCAAAGTGTTATTAGGGGTGTTAGGCAGTACACAGTGTCCCGCCAGAGCCGGCCTGCATCGGGGAGGAGGCAGCAGCAGCAGGGCACGCCAAGCAACACTCTGACCCACCAGCCGGGCAGCGTTGACGGGGGAAATGCCAGGGGAGGCCAAGTCACGGCTGACGAAACCCCATTCTGTAAACCCACGCATTACCCCCGGCAGCAGGAACAGGGCACAGACGGTAAATCAGGAGAGAGCACTGCTCACCCGGAACAAATGCCCGCCCACCGAAAATGCCAGCGCGGGGGCAAAGCCGGGGGGAGGATGGTGCGTCGGGGGCCTGTGCAACCAGCACTGCAGATCATGGGGTGACTGCCCAGCCAGTGACCACCCGAGCGACTGCCACACCTGGGCCGATGGAGGATTAGAGGGATGCAAACCCGACGTGGGAGAGTCGTTCCTGCCTGTGCTGACGATGCTGTATTGCTTGGGAAAGCCACCCCGATGGGGAATATGTGCTGACGCTGGAGAGAGTTGCTCCAGCTGGTGTTTGAGGTGCAAAACGTGGTGGGAACCACAGGGATCGTTGCAAACGTGCTGCTTAGCATAGGGGAAAATAACTCGGCTGAAGCAAGGCGCTTCCAGCCCACCACACCCTCAGCCTGCCTACAAGCTCCTTCCCATGTTGCACTGGGACCAGCATCGTTCGGAGACCTTCGTGCCTGCGCCTCCTGCCCGTGCTGTCCCCAAAAAGCCCCGTCTTCCTGCTGTTCCTCTAGCAGAGTCATGGGGGTGACAAACCGAGCTCATCCCTCTGCTCTGGCATTGGCACACCCACCCAGGAAAGCCTGCAGCCACCATCAGTCACCATTGAGGATGGTGCCCTGTTCTCACCCTTTCATTGATCCTTCTGCTATGCCTGACACCAAGGTCCCGGCAAGCTGCCGGCTCCTGCAAGGATAATCGTCATCCGCAGTTATCAAGGACCAAAGCATCGTATGGGCACCGGAGCCCCTCAGGAGCCCGCAGCCAGGTGTCGATGCCCGGGGGCTCTGCACCATCCAGCACAGCACTGCATGGCCCAGCACAGCACAGCATGGCCCAGCACAGTGCCTTATCAGCCTTCCAGGAATTAATGGGCTGGTTGTTCCAGCCCTGCGGAGATCCCAGCATCTCCTACCAGCACCGCTCTGGCCTCCTGGCAAGGGCATTTGGAGAGGGATCAGGAGTGGTGGTGGTGGGGAACCAGGTTATCCATCAACCCCACAGGTTCTGGATGACTTGGCAAGCTGGGCGTGTTGCAACACCCTCCTGCCAGACAGCAGGAGCTGGGCTATAGCCACCGGCGGGGGTGAAAGGGGACACTGGAAGGGACAACTGAGTCACAAGGGACTTGAGACACATGCCCCATGATGCTGCTGGGCCCTCTGAAGGTGACAGTCCTGCTGGGCACAGGGTCTGCTCCTTTGGACAGTGCTGATAGATGGGAGCGGGTTACAGCGAACAGGCTGAGAAATGATTTACGGGCTGGGAAAGCAGCAGGACGCAGATCTGACCTCCCAAGGCCCCTCTAGTCAGGGGTCCATGGCAGGCAAGCAGCCGTGGGGTGAAGGTGGCGGCCAGCATCCTCAAGGATGGCAGGCATGGAGAGCATGGGCAGTGTCAGGAGCTTGTCAGAGCTCCACGTCCCCAGTGCCCGGACAGTGCCCACCATCCCCATGGGAGCCATGTCCCCCCACCATGCCCCTCTTCTCCCTCCCAGGCTGGGGGGCAGAGGGGCTTAGTGAGACCGGAGCATCTCCTCTCCCCGCCACCCCCTGACCATGATAATGGTGGAAGGCAGTTGTGCTGGCGGGGGACAGCGAGTGCCCCGGTCACCTTTTCATCCCGGCACTTCAGGACCTTTTCCTCCTTTTGTGACGCAGTTTGGCTCCATTACCCCAGCCTTGGCCCCCGGCCATGTCCCGGGGTCTGAAGTTATGGATTCAACAGCCGGAGAAAGCAGCCCGGTGGGATGCGGCGTGGGCGGACTCTTGGCCCAGCTCCACAGCGTAGGCAGAGCACGAGGATTTCTTTCCCAGCACCCCACCAGGCGTCCAGTGCGGGGACCCCTTCCGGCAGGCTTTGCCCTGCTCCCCAGCTCCCTGCCTGGGCACAAAGTGACCTCTCTTGGTGCTGACAGCTCCAACAAGCCCCCAAAAGCCAGGCAGCATCCTAGAGAGCAAAGGGGCAAGCCTGGGATGCAAAGGGCATTCCAAATGGGAGCATCCTGACGAGCTGCCTGGGCTCAGCCTCCAGCCCCAGCCCAGCCTCTCTCAGCCCCTGCGAGCTGGCAGGCAGCCGGGTGATCCCAGGGTGCCTTTCCCCATCCTGTCCGGCTGCTGGCTCCTACCGAGATGGGTGACAACCCGGTGATCCCAGGAGCCATCCCCTGGTTTGGCACCCCGCAGCCCCATACACCCCTTCCCAGCCCTCCCCATGCCAGGGCGGCGCAGGCTGCCAGCGAGGAGCAGGGATCAGCCAAAAATAACCCCTGACAAGCAACACAGCTATTTTGCTAATTATTTCAGTTTTCAATCTCCAGGCGAGGTGACTTGCTTAGGCTAATAATTGCTTCGGTTGGATTTTATCTGGCTAATTAATCAGTTAATAAATGACTTTGCTGCAGGGGGACAGACGCTGCGGCTGTCTCCTTAGCTTGGGACTGGAAAAAAACAGGGAAGGAGCACAGCCCACGGGATTTCCACAGCCCCACGGTGCGCACAGCTGCCCCAGCAGCCATGGGTTGTCATGGGACAGAGAGCACCAAAGCAGGGACCCCCAGCCTGTTGGGATGCAGAGCCATCCTCGGGAACATCTGCAGCAGCCCCAGCCAGGAGGTGACAGCCCTGAGCCCGTCTCTCTGCCGCAGAGCTTTTGGGACTCAGCTGGTTTTCCTCGCCGGTACCTCTGCTAGATGGTGAAGCTGAAAACTGGGAAAGGCAACTTGGAAAAAAAGAAGTCATCTTTGCCACGGAAAACGTGGGATTTCCCTTTACTGCCCGGCCTTCGTTGGCATGGGTGTGCTTCTCTGTCAGTGCTACCACAGGCGAGCCAGGGAGAGATGGTGTACCACTGGCCCCAGGATGGGGCTTGGGTGGGAGAGGGGGGAGGTTTCCTCTCCTGCCTCCTTCCCAGAGCCACCCCAGGCTCCATCTTGGCCCACTCTGGATGTGAAGCAGCCATGGAGCATCTCTTGAAGACCTTGGGCACCGCAGCCTCTCCAGGTTGCAAACCTCAGAAGTCACCAGCACTGAGCCCCCGAGTGCCCTGGGCACAGCGGTACCGGGGGCTCCAGGTCTCCTTTCTCTCATCCACCAGTCCCCAGGGTTGCTTTTGTGGCTAAGCCAGCTCAGCCCCAGCTGTAAAAGTCCAGCCCCTGCAGGGTCCCCTCCTCCCAGCCCCCCAGCAGTACTGGGGGGTCCCACCATGGGAGCCAGGTCTGGTGCAGGGTGGTGGGAGGGCTCAGGCTCTACAGACAGGCTGCGGGAAGGGGCAGGGGCACCCCAGCCCACGGGGGGCACTGGGGGTCCTCTGGGGGTGTGCAGTGAAGGATGGGGGGGTCCCAGGTTCAAGGGGAGCTGTACAGGTTACCCCAAAGGGCTGCTCTGTCGTGGAGTAAGGAGCTGGGAGCAGAAGGCTTGCCAGTCCACGTGGGTGCCAGCTGGGCAAGGAGCAGCCGTCAGGTCCTCCTCTTCCCTCGCCACTCCACCGCCAGGCCAGCGCACGGGAATGCCATCTGCAGGTCCCCACGGAGCTGGGGGGAGAGGACAGCTGTCAAACCGTGCCAGAGGGGGTCTCCTACCCCCGCTCCTCACCTAGGAGGGGCCTGATCCTGGGCCATGGCAGCCAAAGGAGGGTCTCCCCTTCATCTGAAAGGGCTCCAGGTGACATTCAATGCGAGACCCAGCTGTTCCCCTCCCACTGGCTGTCTGACCCCCTCCCCGGCTGGCTGGACCGTGGCTGGCAGATGCAAAGTGGCACCCCCTCCCAGCACACCTCACCTTGGACAACACCAGCTCCTGCACCATGGTGTTCCCCAGGTCCAGCGGGACAGTTAGGCGCAGTGACAGAAAGAGGTGAGATGCACCTAGGGACAAAAAATGTGGCTCTAGTTATTGCCCTTGAACCTTGGGCTGCACCAAAGGGGTCTCTCCCCAGGATCACTGGCACAGACACGGGACCTCCTCCCAGGTTAATCATGTCATGGACACCCTACACTGTCAGGAGAACAACCCTCCACCTGTGCAGCAAACCACACGTCCCACAGAGCATCAATGTTCCCGTACTGAGAGCATGGCAAAAGCAGTGGGGCTCCAGGACCCCCTGCACTGGCCCCTGGAAGCCCAAAGCCACCGGTGCTGGGGGCGTGGTGATGCCCATGGGGCACTGCACTTACTGGTGTTGGACGTGGTGTTGGGGCAGACGGGCAGCGTGGTTGGCAGGTCTGCAGGGGTGCTGAGGGTAATCTCTGGGGTCTGGGTTGAGTCGGTGTCGGGGGAAGAGGACTCCATGCCTGGGCAAAGCAATGTTATGTTAGCACTGTCTGCAGAGAGGCGCAGGATGCTCCTACAGCTGGGGACAGACTGAGCCTAAATGAAGCCACCTACATGAAGCCACCCATGTATGTGCCCAGCATCCCCGTGGGGATTTGTCACCCCGACCATGCCCCTGCCTTCCAGGCGCCCCATGGCTGCACCCACCTGTGGCTGCAATGGGGTTCACAGATACTGTCAGGGTGCCTGGGGTTGGCCCCATGGTCGGAGTGGAGATGCCAGGGGTGGTCCTGGACGTGGTCCCAGCTGGCTGGCTGGGAGTGGGGGTGCTCCTGGGCACCTCCGTGCTGATAACAGGGGTGGCTGTGGTGGCTGCCAGGGTTGCCAAGGGCTCGTCCGAAGTGGCTGTTGGTGCTGGTGTGGTGGGAGGAGGCGCAGTGGGAGGTGAGGTGCTGCTGGTCCCTGGGGATGTGCTGGACCTCTCTGGGGTGGAGGCTCCCGTTTCAGGGCTGGAGGGATGGAGGTTGGCTGCAGTGGTGGAGTCAGTGGTGGGCAGCAGTGCCGAGGTCTCCATAGGTATTGGGGACGTAGGGAGAGTCGTGGACACGGTGACTGTCACATCTGTGACAGTGTTCCCTGCAAAGAGGTTGGAGAATGAGGTGCGCAAGGGCTGGCAATGAAAGGCTGAGACCATGGCTGTGCCGGGGATGGTGCAGCATCACCACCACCATGAGCTCCCCAAGGGACCCAGAGCTACGCATCAGCCACGGAGCATTGGGAGTGGGGATTCACTGTCCTGCATGGATCAAGCACATGGATCCCCTGAATGGGCATCAGCAAGGCAGGCCACGTAAATCCCCCAGCCTGACAAAGCAGGAACAAGCCATGGGCATCGCCAGTCTCGGGGCAGAAACTCCCGTAGGCACCAGCCCTAAGACCTGTTCCACCACCTTCACCATCCCTGGAGGAAGTCAGACAAACCCGTCCGACGGGAAGAGCCGTGCAGGAACTGGTGACCATGAGATGAGCTGGAACCGCAGCAGCAAGTTTACACAAACCTCTCTGCTGCTGATAGTCAGGAACTGATAGCGCCGGGTGTAAATAAAGGCAACGGGGAAACCAGCCCCCCCAGAGCGCGGCCATAGAGGAACAAATCCCAGCTTGCAGCTCAGGGGCGAGTGGTTAGAGACGTGCAGTGACCCATGAAAGCTCTGCAGGGGGGGTTGAAGGATGCAGGAGGGCCGTCCTCTCTGCCAGCATGGACCCCATGCTGGAGCAGCCTGCTGTCCCCAGGGAAGCCCTGGTATCTGTAACCCTCTCCAAAAAGGATGCACAAGACAGCCTGCCTGCCCGGGCCTCTGTCAAGGGATGCGTGTGAGGTGGCGGCTTTGAGATGCCAGGCTGGATTCCCCGGTGATCCCAGCACAAATGCAGTGAGTCTGGGGCTCTGCCCACATGGGGATGGGGAACCAAGCCACGAGCCACCAGCTGCTTTCAGCCAACCCCACCAGAAACATCCAAAGCCCCCGGCAGCCGCTCCCTCCCTGAGCTGCTGCAGGCAGCAGCTGGTCAATTAATAATTTGGAGAAGGGCAAAGGTCTGATCCCAGCCCATGCCCGGGTGGGTGTCTGCATTGAAGAGCCTCATCCTCACACAAAGGAGGAGCTGTAAGTCCACCTCTGCTTCCCATTTAGCAAACAGCAAACAGCACCCGCAGCATTTCGCTCCCCACACCCCACAGGCGCCTGCTGTGGGCGAAGCACCCCACCACCCCAGGGCACGATGCTCCCCGCTTGCGACCCACCCCATGGAGAGCACCACATCCCGCTCAGCCCTTACCCAGCGTGAGGTGTGGCACGACGAGGCTGGCAAGGCTCAGCAGCAGCAGGGGCAGGGGCAGCACCCCTCTCTGCCCGGCCATGTCCGGGTGGATGGGAGCTGATGCCCCCCCGCAGGCACTACTCCGAGCACTCCCCACGGCCCCAGCACCGGGCTTTCCAGGTCTCCTTTGCCCAGCAGAGAAGGAGCATCCAGGTGGGTCCTTTTACTCCCCAGGTGTTGGCAGCGAAGGGGGGGTTTCCACCTGACACGGGCACTCCCAGGGACAGGCGCGATGCCAAGCAGACATCAGCTGCACGGCTGGACCCAGAGCAGCCACGAGCAGCGGGCAGGGCAGGCCGGCAGGGCCACCACTGCAGCAGTCCAGGTCCCTGTAGCCGGGGGGACCGTGCCGTCCTCTGCCTGCTGAGGGGACGGTGACAATGGAAAAAAGCCCAGGGAAGCAGCCGGGCTGCCTGGGACCGTCCCTGCGCTCCGCCACAGGGGTGATGTTCGGTGGTGTCTCCCAGCACCAACGCCCTCGGGAGACAATAGCCCGTTATGTCTGAGCGCAAGGAACCAGCCGAGAGAACAGGCGGTGCTCAGGAAGGGCGTGCTCCAGGCTGAGGGTTTGTCTCCTGGGCTGTCTGTACAGGCATCACTTCCCCATGTCACAGCATGTCATGGCTGAAGGGCACTGCTGACAGCCGGAGCTGCTTCCTTCTTCTCAGGGTCAGGGACAAGACCAGTCGGAGGCGCCTGCAGGCACTGGGCCAGAGTACAGGCACTCTGCAGGCGGACAGGCACGCTGGAGGACTGCCAGGGCACAGACACCCTGCTGCTATACAGGTACACTAAGGCACTGCCAGGGCACAGGCGCACTGAGGGTATCACTGGCATACAGGCACTCTGCTGGGGTGCTCTCACGCTGTAGGCATTAAGCCAGGGTACAGGTACTCTGTCAGGATACAGTCGCTCTACTGGGGTACAGGGACACCGGGGGCACATGCACAGCCAGGGCCACTGGGGCAGGGTACAGTCTCCCTGCCAGGTTCAGGTGCACGGAGGGGGGTGTCACCAGGGTACAGCTGCAGCCCCAGAGTAAAGGCTCCTGGGAGAGCCACCGGGATACAGTCACACTGCTGGGACACAGGTGCCCAGGAAGGGGCACTGTGCCAGGGTACGGCTGCCTGGGGGGACTGCCGGGGTAACACTCCTGGGGTACAGTCTCACTGCCGGGGTGCAGGCGCGCTGCTGGGGGCACAGCCGCACAGCCGTGGCGCAGCCGG